GTGTTAGTATGTGCGAACGTGTCTCTCACTCTCATACGTTCGTCCTGGTCCCTCCGCCCAAGCGCCGTCCATCTCCATTGAACAATCTCACAACTCTTTTTTTTCCAAGGCGTCCCCTCCCCCTCTCTCTCTCTCCCTCCACCCGCCCTATCCATCTCCATTTATCATCAGTCACCGCAGAATTCCAGAGGGAAACCTATTACTCTTTATCACGGAACCTCCTGAGATCTGTCCTCAGAGATAGGTCTAGAAATGACAACAGACGAACGACGAGTGACTCATGTTTCGGTTGTGAGAGACAATTGACTTGTTTTGCCAAGGACGGGTGTGGGGTGTTGGCCACCTAATGGTTCTCTGTGTTCTTTATTTCTTCCTTTCTTTCGTCTTTTTTTTCTTTCTCTTATTCTTTTTTTTTCTTCTCTCTTCTTTTTTCTTTTTCTTCTCTCTTCTTTCTTCCTTTTTTTCTCTTTTCTTCCTTTTTCCAATGTCTGCTTCCTTGCTACCTTCCTTCTGTTCTCTCTTCTTTTTTTTGTTCTTGTTCTTGTTCGTTTTTTCTTGTATTTTTGTTTGTTTTTTATTATTTAATTTCTTCTCTTTCATGCTCCTCCATGTTTTATTTATTTTTCTTCTTCTTAATCTTGTTCTTCCTCATCTTCCTCGTCCTTGAAATCAATTGCATGTAAATTGACATTTGTGCCTGTACCTCTTCTGTCTAAATGAAAGAGAGAGAGTGAGAGTGAGAGTGAGAGTGAGTGAGAGAGAGAGAGAGAGAGAGAGAGAGAGAGAGAGAGAGAGAGAGAGAGAGAGAGAGAGAGAGAGAGAGAGTGTGCGTGTGTGTGTGCGTGTGTGTGTTTCTGTTTGTGTACTTCAAAGGCAAATATAGTCATCTCATAATGCATTCAAATTTCGCATGCACGCTTAGCAAATATACTACTCAGCCACGAGTTGTTATGCGTATGGTGATGCGCGGTGCTACTGACATGGCATTCAGGGTGAGGTGATGATGGTGATGATGATGATGACGTTAACTGATGACTAATTGATGATTAACTGTTAATATAGTGATGATGAAGACGATGATAATGGTGATGATGATGAATATTGATGATTAACTGTCAACATAGTGATGATGAAGACGATGATGATGGCGATGGTGATGATGACGTTAACTGATGACTAATTGATGATTAACTGTCAACATAGTGATGATGAAGACGATGATGATGGCGATGGTGATGATGACGTTAACTGATGACTAACTGATGATTAACTGTTAACATAGTGATGATGAAGACGATGATGACTGGTGATGGTGGTGATGACGTTAACTGATGACTAATTGATGATTAACTGTCAACATAGTGATGATGAAGACGATGATGATGGCGATGGTGATGATGATGATGACGTTAACTGATGACTAATTGATGATTAACTGTCAACATAGTGATGATGAAGACGATGATGATGGCGATGGTGATGATGATGATGACATTAACTGATGACTAATTGATGATTAACTGTTAACATAGTGATGATGAAGACGATGATGATGGCGATGGTGATGATGACGTTAACTGATGACTAACTGATGATTAACTGTTAACATAGTGATGATGAAGACGATGATGATGGCGATGGTGATGATGACGTTAACTGATGACTAATTGATGATTAACTGTCAACATAGTGATGATGAAGACGATGATGATGGCGATGGTGATGATGACGTTAACTGATGACTAATTGATGATTAACTGTCAACATAGTGATGATGAAGACGATGATGATGGCGATGGTGATGATGACGTTAACTGATGACTAATTGATGATTAACTGTCAATATAGTGATGATGAAGACGATGATGATGGTGATGATGATGATGACGTTAACTGATGACTAATTGATGATTAACTGTCAACATAGTGATGATGAAGACGATGATGATGGCGATGGTGATGATGACGTTAACTGATGACTAACTGATGATTAACTATCAACATGGTGATAATGAAGACGATGATGACTGGTGATGGTGGTGATGACGTTAACTGATGACTAATTGATGATTAACTGTCAACATAGTGATGATGAAGACGATTGATGATGTTGGTGTGATGACGATAATGATGCCTGATGATAATTGGAGATGATTAATGATGATGACCATAATCATAATGTGAGAATGTGGTGATGACAATTATTCCATCCCTTTAAGTGATCATTATATGGTGTTGATAAACCCAATATCATTGTTTGTCATCATTTGCATAATCACCCACATAATAAGGGAAAAAATATTAATGATGGTGATAAATACGGACAGTAGTAACAGTCATTATCATTATCTTCATCATTATCCTCAGTATTATCAGCATCAGTATCTTTATGTTGACAGCAATACCAAAAGGAACTCCAGTATCCATCAAACAATGGAATAGAGAGCGGGGAAGAGATTTATTCAGATAGTATTAGAGTTGCAAAATTGCATAATTTAAGTAATTAAAGCCTCGTTTGCCTCGACCCTCCCCACACACACGCACACACGCACACACACACACACACACACACACACACACACACACACACACACACACACACACACACACACACGCCCACACGCACACACACGCCCACACGCACACACACGCCCACACGCACACACACGCCCACACGCACACACACGCCCACACGCACACACGCACACACACACACACACACACACACACACACACACACACACACAACGTCTCTCGTAGGATTTTACCGCTTGCCCAATCAACAGCAACTTGGTGAGAGAGGTTCTCCGCAAATTATAGCGCAGTTATGAAGATATATTTTTTTTTTCTATAAGAAAACAAAAAAATAATATATTCGTTAATTACGAAAAGTATGACGAGACTTTTATTTGAACAAAAACGTATCTATATGAAATGAAATGACAGGAACCTCGATATATTCACATAAGCTAAATATAGGAAACTTAGTCCTAGAATCATTCGTTTATTTGTTAAAATGACAGTTAACCCTTTTTATAAACAAATTCATTATTTATGTGCACAAACAAATAGGCCTACATATACAGACTGAAAGGCTCATTCAGGGTACACATATGAACACAAACACATAGACACATACTTAGACGGGATAAAACACACGCTTAACAATAACTGTTTTTTTTTTTTTATACTAGGCCAAATCGCGGGAAATCGGACGCAGTTACAAATAACTGTTGTCGGAGTGAACGAACAAACGGATTTTGTCTATTTGTTCGGCAATTTATACATGGATTAGATAATTGCTTGAGTAAATTATGGACGCAACTTCACGTACAAAATGCTTAGAGCAAATGAGACAATTGTACTTTATTGTACTTATGGTGTTTTTTTCTCGCGCTGTTTCCGTATCGGTGACTTTCGGAGAACGCATTAACTCCTGCAATAAAACGCCTGTGATAAAATAAGAAGTGCACATAAATTCACAGCTACAAGCACACGCACAAACACAGACACGCACGCATGCACACACACACACACACACACACACACACACACACACACACACACACACACACACACACACACACACACATACATCTAATGTGTCAATATGAGTCCGATCGTGAGTCTGAGAGAGATAACATATAGAATTATATAAATCATATAGATTAGTATATTATGTAGAACACAGCAATAGATAAACATAATAACACCGTCATACATATTTCGCTAACATGATATAGATCAAGCTTGGTTACGCAGACACACACACTCTACGTCGTGTGTGTGTTGACTGACATGACTTGCATCTCCCAAGGGAAGAATCAGACCTGTCCATTCACCACTTGACCCTCTATGCAATCTTCGTATTATTCTCTCGCAACTTGTATCACTGATGGATTTAACTGTTTTTTATGGATAGTGACGATAGAGTGAGAGTGAGAGTGAGTGAGTGAGAGAGAGAGAGAGAGAGAGAGAGAGAGTGAGTGAGTGAGTGCGAGAGAAAAAAAAAGAGAAAGAGAATGAGAAAGAGAGAGAGAATGAATTCGTGAGTGAAAGGGGCGCAGAAAGAGACAGCGCGAGACTAAGGCACACGGAAATTAATCGTAAAAAAATGTGTCATGATTATGATGTCTTTACCCTCCTCCTTCACACGAGAAACTTTTGGATACTAAACCATAGGATGCGATTCCTTTATCCTCCTCTCCCTCTCCTCAGTTCCCACCAAGTAAAGGTCTTGACTAAGTCTTCAGTTGCACCACTTTATCTACGCCAGTTGAGATTGGATAATGACATGCTTTTATACTTTGAGACACGGGGTCAGAGGATCCGTGAGTGCCTGGATGCATGCGTCTCCTCACACTGTATATATTTAGAAATAGCGACATATACGTAGATCTCATGCCCGTTTCAATGTTTTGTTTGCCTTTTTATTACCGTATCCGTATTTGAATAATATGTATATCTTTCTCATGCAGGTGAATTCTGTTACCGACCTTGCATGCCCAACGACACTCGCATTTGCCAGTTCACATTTGAGGTTCATCTCTACCAGACCTTATCTAGGTAAGATCTCTCAGCCTACTTTGTTTTAGGTAACTCATAGTGTACATAAATATAGTCTATATATCATATGAATTTATAATTTAACTCGACAGCACGGAGACAAAATTTCTCGTCTGCAGATTCACTGTTGACTCATTTACTGTATTATAGAACAAGCGGATGCACTTTCCTGTTATTTGCTTAGGCGAGTCCCTCTCCCCCTGGTCAGATACAGCAGAGTGGTCTAATTTCAACATCGTGGACCACTTCAGAACTAAACTCACGGGTCGCGCATACATAATAATTAGTGTGTGGCTCCAAAAGTGTACTAAGTTACTTCTAATCACATTTTTATGTCAATTGCGGTTTGGTTGTCGAGGTCGAAGACAAGTGTCTAGGGCTTCATTTATTACTTTATCCCTAAGTTGTGATTAAACTTGATCCATTGAAGAAAATGTACAATAGCTTATAGATGTACTTCGAAAACTGGTATTCACACACTTTGGTGGTGATCCCTGATCGCTGTTATCATAGCAAATTGCATGATAAATAATTCTAGCATAAAATGAGAGTAGCCGCATTTCCTGTAAGTACCATTGTGATAACCATCTCTTATATTGTGAGGCAGTGTTAGGCACAAACCTTAGGAATTAAAATCCTTACTTAATCCATAATCCATTAACATAATCGAAAGTACAACAAAATATTTGCTAAAGCGTCTTTACACAACATAAAGCATGAGAAGATAATAATCGGGCTGACCTCCTCTGACTCCCTTTGACCCGGCCAGGGCGTGCTACAAATGTCCCAGCAACGCCACAGACTGCGACCGACCCGAGTGCGTGGCCGGGGACGGGACGCGCAGGATGGTCACGGCGGTGAACAAGGGCATTCCAGGACCGTCTATTCAGGTGAGATTTCCTGCTTTCAGTTCCACTACGTCGGTTTTGGATTTGTGTTGTGATATTTGTTTAACGTTCGTTTGGAAAAGGAAACCGAAATTGGTTGGTTGAGTGAAACAATACAGGAAGTTCTGTAGGCATACGGGGAGAAAAATAGTGACAATATCTGAAATGTATGTTTACTTTGACAATGAAATGGTACATTAAAACGTCCATGATTCCTTAATTTCCCTCTCTGTTCCCTACCACCAAGCGTCGCCCAGTAATCTTAAACTGCCCACGCGACAAAGATCTTCACCAAAGGGTTCACAATCCCCTTCCAGGTGTGCGTCGGCGACAAGGTTCTCGTGGACGTCCTGAACGACATGCCGTCCACAGCCGTCACTCTCCACTGGCACGGCCTCACGATGGGCCCCTCCTTCGCCGTGCCCCGAGCCGAGAAGACGCCCTTCATGGACGGCACCCCGGGCATCACGCAGTGCCCAGTGGGTCCCTCGTCCGGGTTCAGGTACTCCTTCATCGCTTCCAATCCCGGCACTCACTTCTGGCACGCGCAGACAGGTGAGGAGGAGGAATCGGAACTTGATTTTGGGTTCGATCAAAGAGTCAGACGGTTTCATAATTTACGCAATTATGAAACCGTGATCGTGAATATTGCAATTTTCTACAAATCTAGAAAATACCTGTTTCTACTCAAAGTGTCCGTAGGCCTCGACAATAATTTCCTGTCTCTACAGTTATAAACAGTTTCTAGCTGTCTCAGAGCTTAAAAAATATCGGATTCTAAATAAATATTTATGCATTCACAGGTCTTGAACGCGGCGACGGTGTGTTCGGCCCACTCATTGTGCACCAGTCACATGAAAATGATCCTTACCAGAAATTGGCACAACATATCATGACGGTATGAGCTCCGTTATAATTGTATATGCATATGCATGTATCCCCACCACACACACACGTGGGATGGTAGTGTTCACAAATGTTTTTAGCATAAAACATACAGTTGTAGACTAAGTGTTGCAGATGTTTACATAAAGTATATGATAAACTTGGCAAACATAAGCATGCAACGACATTACCACACATCACAACAACGATATTACCACACATCACGAACAAAAAATAGACAACAATGTAGCACATTAAGAAGGGTACATCAGACAAGGCCTTGATTTCCAGATCAATGACTGGTTCCACTCCTCGACGCAGTCCAAGTATGTCCTCCGTCAGCACAGCAACCAGGAGGCCAAACCCCAGTCCATCCTGATCAACGGCCGCGGTGCCCAGAAGGTACTCTAGATACACGACTTTGAATGCAGTTTTAAGGAACATCTACAGAAGATGCGACAAGAGGTTACGTTGTTGTTTATGATGTTTGTCTTGTATTCCAGCACGACGCGGATGAAGTCGCTCGAGTTCCATATTCAAAATTCATAGTGGCTAATGGTAAGACAGACTGTTAAATGATTGCAACGGAGAGGGATTTTTTATATAAATATATCATATATATATATAAATAGATAAATTGATATATACATGGATATACACATAAGTAGACAGATGGGTAGGCTGATTTATATATGTGTGTGTGTGAGGCAGAGAGAGAGAGAAAGAGAGAGAGAGGGAGAGAGAGAGAGAGAGAGAGAGAGAGAGAGAGAGAGAGAGAGAGAGAGAGAGAGAGAGAGAGAGAGAGAGAGAGAGAGAGAGTATAGAAAGACCCATAAAGAACGAGAACGAACGAATGATACACAAGAGAAGCCCCACCCACCCACAATCAACGCTTCTCCCCCACCCTCCCCCTCCCCCAGACACCCGCTACCGCATGCGGGTCATCAACGCTGCGGTGACCAACTGCCCCGTGACCGTGACGGTGGACAGCCACGACTTCGTCCTCCTCGCGGCAGATGGCAGCCTCGTGTCGCCCATGAACACCACGTCGCTCCTCATCTATCCAGGTAATTCATCGGAGATCAAGCGGTCGTAAGTCATCGTTACTTATGGTTAAGCTTGGTTAATTAATCAACTTGCTTAATCGGAATTTTATGTTCAGGTCAGGTATTCGTCAACCAGCCTCTTCTTCCTCCCATTCCTAATTACAGGAAGAAAACATTACGGTTTTACTTTATGGCTTTCTTGCCTCCTAAAAACTACTCATTTCAATCCTAAATTTAAACAAAATCCAATTTTCTGTCTAGTCCTCTTCTTCCCATTCCACACATCACCAAAAACGAAAGCAAGAAAAGATGATAATTCTCAACTCAACGCCTTTCCCTTCTCTCTCCCTCCCAGGAGAGAGATACGACGTGCTGATCGCTGCGGAGCAACAGACATCTCCTGACGGCGGAGTCTTCTGGATGCGCGTGCAGGGCGGGAACGACTGTGGCCACCTTCAGCAGTACGCAATTTTCCAGTACCTGCCCACGAACTTCTCCTTCGCCGAAGCTCCGCCCACCGTCCCTCCGCAGACCACGCCCACTCCCAAAACGCCACCTGCGCCAGGATCGGTGTGTTTTTCTGTATTCTTTAAACATTCATTAATTCAAAGTGATTTTGCTGTCTGTGTAAATTGAGAGCTTATTTTTCAAATCAGGTTTTCGCCCTTTTCTTATTAATTATTTTCTTCATTGGGAATATACTAACTTTTTGCTTTTTTCATTTTAATTTTTCACTTTTATCCACTTATTTACCTATCTTTTCACTGCTTGATTTCGGAAAAGGATTTTGTCAATGACCCCCAAATCATGCAAGGCATGACATGGCCTAAACTCGCAACATCCACCAACAGCAAGACTTCAGCGGAGCATGTGGCACCGAAGGGCAGCGCTGCGTCTCTGGTCTGAGGTCGCCCACGGATCTGCCCGCCTCCCTTCAGGTCGCCAAAGCAAATACTACTCTCTACCTCGCCTTCTCCTCCAAAGAAATTCGCAACGAGAATTTCTACTCCATTCTCCTCTATGATATCTATGAAGGTAGGGAGACCGATATGAATCGCAGGTGGCTATGTCTGGAAACAAATAGTTGTGGAAATATGGAAAATCGAGTATTTCTCTCGTTGCATGTAGTCGTTTAGATGGTACAATTTTCAAATTATTGTGGCCACGCGTTCCGCAGTTCTCTTTATTTAACCAGAGTGACAGATTTCCCCCTTCCCTTATAATCTCAAAATCGTATCTACAAAAGCAAAATTTCCCGCCTCTATGAATCCAATTTCACAAACCACGGGATCCACTCCAGAGACCGACCCTTCGAAGAGACTGGCAACGCCCCAGATCAACCACCTGAGCTTCCGCGCTCCGCCCATCCCCCTCCTGGTCAACCACCGCCCACTCAAGTCCGAGAACTGCAGCAGCGAGGGCGTGAGGCGAGGGCACTGCACCGCCGACTTCTGCGAGTGCCTCCACGTCCTGCAAGCTCCGATTGGGGCAATTGTAGACCTCGTACTCATCGGAGAGGGTGAGTGCATGCTTCTTGAATCTCAGTGTCTATTCCTGTTGGGGTGTTGGTGGAAACTTTTGCACACATAATGACATAATTCCACGATCAGTAGTATTTTGCGTTATAAATAATAAAAATGTTATTAATCATTAACGCATAAAAACGCAATTTCCCGAATTATCCTTCATAATGAACCGATGATGCCATAGCCACGATTCTAGCATAGAAGAAATCAAACATCTGACGCGACTCTCATCCCCAGGACCTGCCAATGGCACTTCTCAGGCGGTGCATCTGCACGGCTTCAAGTTCTGGGTCCTGTCTCAGGTGGCGGCCGAGGACGTGCCCGCGTCGACCATGACGACCACGACCACCACAACGACCCCATCCCCCGACGACGATTCAGAGGACAGCGTGGACATTCCTCCTGCAGGCGACGAGTACCTCTCACGGGATAAGGTGATGCAGTTGGACGCGGAAGGGAAGCTGAAGCGCTACGTGCTGGACCCCGTGGCCAAGGATACCGTCACTATCCCGCCAGGAGGGTACACCATTGTCAGGATCGTCGCCGAGAATCCTGGTAAATTGAGAAGGTTTTTTACTCTCCCACTCTCTTAAATATGAACGTTTCTCCGATGAAGAAAAAGGTTGTAATTTATTAACTTCATTTTCCTAAATTATGAACTACAGTAGATATATTTTATTCATTAATGAACTGCATTTTCTTCATACCTCCTTAATTTTCTTTCACACAGGATTCTGGATGCTTGAGAGTCAGGTCCTCTTCAATGCAATGGCGGGCCAGAGCCTCATCCTGCAAGTCGGCAACACCGCAGATTTCCCTAAACCACCAAAAGACTTTCCCAAGTGTTAAATCTGCTAAAACAACTTCTTGATTTGTTGTGTTACATTTTTTTCCCTCTCTGTCTTTCACTTTCTTTCCTTCCTCCCTTTTCTAATTATGATTTTCTTCCTATCCTTCTTTTACTCGTCTATCTCATCTATTTTTCGTTGTATAACCTTCATAGATCCTATCATCTTAATCATTCCGAATCTTTCGTACTAATCCAATGAAATCCTCTCTCTTTCTCTCTCTCTCTCCCCCTCTATCTCCC